GAGAGAGAGAGAGAGAGAGAGAGAACCAGTCCCATCACCACCAGGGGAACTAATGCTCTCAAGACTTGAGAGCCCAATTTACCGAGGCGTTGGGCTGTGTAACGCTTAACTGCTTGAGGGGGCGTTCTCTGCTGCTTTTGTTTAATCTTTGTTTACAGTTTGTTTGCCGCGAAACGATTGATTTTGTTTGTCGTCATCGTTCATCGAGTTTCGATAGGACGCAGCGTCTCGTCTTCGCATGAAGCAATCTCCTTTTGTTTCGGATAGGCTTGGAGTCGAGGGTGAATTCCCGATTAATTGTTAGTCTGCTTCACCGTGGATGGCTGTTTGTCTGACCCAGTGATTAATTGACATATACACGCTTACTGACAGATTTAGCAATTGATTAGTTGATTGACTGCGGTGGGGGGAAACCAGGTTAACGGAATCAGACTTGCTCACAGATTGGTGTATAAACGGAGCCCACTGATTAGTTTATTATTAGAGCTATTAATAGACTAACGGACTGATTGATAGGTTGATTGAAAGAGTGATTGACAACAGGCGCCTCAATCAAATAACGGTGACTTTGTGCAAGGAAGGGATTGGCAGACGAGAAGAGGTGAAGTAATAAATGACATAATGAACAAGAAAATATGTTTGTTTGTGAAACATTAAATTTACAATTAATACAATCACCAAGCTATAAATAGATAGGTCATTAATTTGAAGACTGCGGGACTTCCCCCATTCCTTTTTATGGACTTCATCCGAACACAGCAGATGGGCGGGAAAGCCAGCTCGAAAGAGTTAATACAGAAAAAGGGTGTCTCTTGTTCATCATGAGATTGCTTTTTTGTTTTGTTGGGTTTTTAGTACAGAAAAGCACGTCGACACTATAACGGTCATTTGATATTGACAGAAAAAAGGCAGGAAAGACAGACAGAAACAGCAGAGGGAGAGAAAAAAAAAGAAGCCAAGACTTATCAGCGGCGCCCTAAAACTACCCCGCCCGTACTTCACAGAGCAAGAGATAATATATATATAATAAAATGACAAAGAGGGCCGCCCAATCAGCGAGGGCAGTTGTTCTATTTTTGATGGGACATTCAACCGACCATTCATGTCCCTGGGCCCATTTGGGGATGGTCTAGATTATAATCTAATTCCGTTTTCTTTTAATATTTTAATTTTGGGGGG